GAAGTTTTATTCTAACTAATAATAATCTAAGCCAAACAATAAAAAGACTACTATACACAATTCAAAACGATGTAAATAATTAAACCAATCTGTAATCCTAATCTAGCAGCAATTTACAAGGTATAGACTGATATATTACCTAGGAATACAAAAGGCCAAGCAATCAGCAATTCTAAAATCTACTGCAGACAGATCTAAAACAAAACTGAAATCAAGGGTTGGGATCAGATCTGATTTGAATTAGGGTTGGGATCCAGATCTTATTCAAAGTTCCAAATTGCATGCCTTATCTACATTAATTAATTGCGGCATCCGAATTCAGATCCAATTTGGGTGAGTTCCAATCTGCAACTTTTTGGTATTGTTAGTCCATAGATAAGACAACAAACAATCATTCAAATCTAAACTGTTATTGTATATCTCATACTCACCCATTGGGATCTGGTATACGCTGCAATATAAATCCAATAAGGCTGAGATCAGATCTGTTATACTGTAGGGCTGATATCAGATCTAAGCTGAAATCTTAAAATATATTAAGAGGACCTGAAATAAACTGTAACCAGACCTGAGTTAGTCTTGGTTTAAGGGTTTTAAGCTCTGCAATTGAAGTCCAAACCTGTATAGCTCATACATATCAAATAATTGCTAAGACTTGAAATCATGTCTGCAATGTGATAATGTTAGCAGTTGTAATTCTGATCGGATGTTAGCAGTTTTACAGAACAAAACTCAGTCCATAGATATTTCAGATCAGATCTCATATCAAACTACTTGCACTTCAGGTCTGCAACTTTATTAGAAATCAGAGTTGGCCATCAAAAGCTTTAAATTTAGTAATGGACATCCAAGCTTGTGTGGCTCTTATTAAGTGATTGCAGAAACCTGAAATCAGGCCTGCAACTTTATACTATAAGCAGCCTTGATTCAGATCTGAATGTCAGTACATGACAATAAAAAATATGAAGCTCTTTTTGGACCTTTCAGGCCTCACAAACATCAGTCCCAACCAATCAAAGCATCAGTCTTCAGAAATTTTAGATTGGGTGCTAGTGATCTAAAACAAAACATCAGTCTACCGAGATTTCAGATCTCATACTGCCTCAGATTCTCATGCACTTAAGATCTGATTTTACCATTCATGGCCCACATTATCATCAATGAGGCAAGTCTGATGCATCAAATTGTGAATTGGGTGTTGTTACTACCCGAATTCACATCAGAATAGAGTGGGTCCAGGTGAGTTCAGATGAACTCAGACCTGAACCCAAATGTATTCAGACCTGCAACCGGCTGAGCTCAGATCTGAATTCAAATATTTTCATTCCTTGCTATCCAATTGCCTTTGGGGTATGTCAGATGTATCATAGAGTGAGTTGGGGTAGTGATGACACCCAATTCTCCTTAAACTTGTATCAGTTCAGGTATGAGTTCAGAGGAACTCAGATCTGAACTTAGCAGTTCTGCAACAGTAGAATTTAGGTCTGTTGTATTGCTACTGCTGCAGGTTGCAGAGCAGAATTGAATCTAAATTTTTAGACCTTTTGTTCATTCACAGCTGAAATCAAAGCTATCCATTTTGAAAAATTGCAAGGAACATCCACAATGCCAAATTGGTATTGCTAATTCTAATAGATACCTGTCCTCAAACTTGTCCTAATTCAGCCCTGCTGTAGCAGCCCTGCTACAGGTCTGAATTTTAATAGAAAAAATCTTTTGGAAGTGCTCTTTTCATTAAATCTCTTGAGGTATCAAAATTCTCAACCTAAACATACATTCCCTTAGCTAAATTAGCTAGGATAGAGCAGAGTACAAGTTATCAAAAACTACAAAGTATACCCTGCATCCTGCTCTGTTCTCAACCACAGTTTAGATCTGTGTCATTTCAGATCTGAATTTCATCATCCATGGCTAACCAATTATTCTTGGGGGATAGCAGATGTATCCTAGGGTGAATTGGGGTGGTGATGACCCCTAATTCCCCTCAAATTTGCATCAGTTCAGGTCTAAGTTCAGAGAACTAGCTGTAGGGGACCCCCCCCCCCCAACAATTAGTTTCAGCTTTTTGGGTTTTTTTTACAAAAATACTCCCCCAACAACTATAAACAACTATATAGGGGGTATTTATGTATTTTGGTTATGGGGGAGAAAAATGACACAAATGCCCTCAACACCTATATGACAACTAGTTTAGGGGGCATTTTGGGTAAAGTGATAAATAACTTTACAATGACCAAAATACCCCTCCCAACAACTAAAAATGACTAGTTTTTAGGGTATTTGGGGCAATTGAATTATTTTCAATTCCTATAAATAGCCCTATCATCCACCATTCTCATCACACAAATTCAACAATTCTCTTAATCTCTTCTCTAGTTATCATACTCTCTCAAGTTTCAATCCCCCAATCTCTCAAATTCTCAATCTCTCATACATTCTTTGAACTCTGATTGATTGATTCTCTAATTCTCAACTTTATTGATGTTTCAACAATAAGAAGGCTTGCTCAACCAACTCAAGTATCTCAAGTTAGCAATTTGAGAGGCTTGGACTCTTGGAGTTGAAAGGCTTCAACCGTTGAAATCAAGTTGGGATTCCAAATCAACAATTCGGGTATGTCCAATTAAATTAATTTTTATTTTTTAGAATTTAAAAAAAATGCCCAGCTCCTCCTGAAACCAATTCCCCAACATGATCAATGCCGACGATATTTCAGTCGTAGCATGATAGTGTTAGCACTGATATGGATGCTATTGATATTGATGGAATTTTTTGATTAGCCCGGTTTGAAAAATATTTAAAGTAGAAGAGGTTGAGGAGAAGGGAAAAAAGAGTTGCTTGCCAAAAATGTAGGAAAGACTTTAGCTATTGTAGCAAGGGTGGTACTGACCATTTGAACAAACATTTGCTCACCCATAAGAAGAAGAAGGGAAAGAAACAACACAAACACAAATTGGGTGGGGGGTTTTGGTACATTTAAATATTCTCAAGAAAAAAATGAGACAAGAATTAGCAAAATATATTGTACATGTTGAATAACCATTTTTGTTAGCTAAAGATACTAAACTTGAAAATTAGTTATGTAATTTTGTAGATCCACAGTTTAAAAAAGTTTGTAAGAGTACTATTAGATCAGATGCTTTAAAAAATTTTTATTCATATAAACAAAATTTAATTTATATGTTATTAAATCTTAATTCTAAAGTTGTAATTACTTCCGATGTTTGAACTTCTAAATTTAACATAAGTTATATTTGTGTTATCAGCCATTTTGTTGATAAAAATTGATTTTTAAATAAAAGAATTTTAAGTTTTATTAGTCTTGAATGGCCACATACTGACCCAACTATTGCTGCAAGCATTTTAAATACTTTACATACTTATGGAATTGGCAATAAATTATTTTCTATTAGTTTCGATAATGCTAGTAATAATGATTCAGCAATAAATATTTTAAAATCTCAATTAAAACCATGTTTAAATGGTAAATTATTTCATATCAGATGTGCATGTCACATCTTAAATTTATGTATTCAAGATGCTTTAAATATTATTTCTACTCATATTTATAAAATTATAAATTGTATTTTATATATATATTAAAAGTTCTGGAGCAAGAAAATAAGAATTTAAATATTTATGTCAAATTATGGTTTAAAATATAAGCATTTTATATTCAATTTAAATGAAATAAAATTAAATTTAAATGAAATAAAATTCCTATTTTTCTTCTAATTTTTATTCCATTCTTATCTGGTTAAATATTTTTTTTTCATTTATTTGTTAGATTTCTCATTTCTTATGTTTTCAAATAGGTCCTGAAGGAAAATTAAATATTTTAGTTTTACTTAGCAAAGAAATAAAAAAATAAAAAATGTCAAAGAAACAAAAAAAAAGTAAAAAACCAGTTTGACCCGATTCGGCCCACACCCAAGGCCCGCCCCTACGGCCCAACCCAATACAACCTAGGTTAGGGGTGATCATTTTAGCCCGGCCCGGAAATTCTGGGCTTAGGCCTAGGTTTTGTGTTCAAGCCTGGCTCGGGCTCAGGCCCACAAATTTTAGGGCCGAACTTGGGCTTAATACTTTAAAACTGGCCCGACCTGCATATATTTAAACTTACACATTTTGTGTATAATGTATACCTTTGTATACATGTTATTTTACATTATATTATATATTTTATATATAAATATTATAACATGATATGTATAATTTATATTATATGATGTATAGAATAAGTTTATATGCATGTTATGTCATTTAATATATAAATATGTAATGTTTTATATATGAGTGACATTGGTCCGGAATCTGGCCCGACCTTGCCCCGACCCGTATAGACTTGGGCTAGGGCTTATGTTTCAGGCCTAGAACCCTGGGCCGAGCCTAAGCTATAGCCCTTATCATAAGTGTAAAGCTCGGCCCGACCCATGGTCACCCAGCCTTGGTCCACAGCATGGTTTACGACTTGCCCGGCCTAGGCCTGCGACACGGCATGGGCCTGTATGGGCTTAAGCCGTGGGCCGTGTTGGGACGAACCCTCAAGTTATCCCAAGGGAAGGTGACATGCCCGAGATGGCTTGTTTTACACCTTTACGGTAAGTAACTTTCTCAGCTAGAAATTTTTATAAAATATGATAGGACCCATTTTAATAGTTACTTTTTGGATAAAAATGTTATTTTATCATTTACCTGGAAATCCTAAAACTCAAAAGAACCGAGTAATATTTACCTGATAAATATACTTACCGAGTAAAGTTAGGTGCTTTTTTACCCATTTTAATAGTTACTATAAACATGTACGTGCATTTGCACATGACTATAAAACTATTTACAATTTATGGAGAATTTTTGAACAAATAACCAGTTTCTTAACTGTTTTAAGTGGACAATTTTTGAAAAGTTATAAGTAGGTTCTTAACTGTTATATAATGTTATATAAGTGGGCATTTATTATTACACTTACCCGGTTAAGTCAAGTGCTCTTTTACCCATTTTAATAGTTATTTTATCACAGTCACACATGTATGAAGGCGAATCGTTCATGGGATTATCCGGGCGACACGTTTTCAAAACCCTTTACCCCTGTAGTCAGGGAACGCAAGAAGGCGGGTGCGACGGAGATGGCAGGCGAGAGCCGATGCAACGGCCGCAGCGGCAGCAGCAGTAGCAACAACGATCAAACAGAAGCGAAGTTGCGTTCCGTCTTCGACGTCCCACCGGATTTCTTTTATTCATGCCGCTTAGTTCACTTCGGAAGCTCTTCGTATGTCCACTTCGAAAACCCTGCAACAGCCATTGACGAAGAAGATCTGAAGGGGAATGATTCAAGGGATAAGAAAGAGAACAGAAAGGATGTTCCCAGATGGACTTGCAGTACTTGCAAAGCCGAATTCGAGTCCCTTCAAGACCAGCGCTTGCATTTCAAATCCGACATCCACAGGTTCAATGTATAGTCTTTGTTTCTCAATCAATTTTGACCGTGTATTTCTTTATTTTCTGGCGTATTTTCAATAAGGATGTTCTGAAGTTGTCGAATTGAATTGCCGGTACTCTTTCCATGATTGTTAGTGTTAGCGATAGGAGAATTGTTAAGACATATTTTACGGGGACAGTATATAGGCAAATCCGAGTAGTGCAGTACAACCTTACCTTCACCTTCGTATCAGACACAAATAGTATATTTTTAACTTTTCAGAATTATCAATAGTATCTTTTTAACTTTTCAGAATTCAGATTTCAGATTTATCAAGCGCCACCTAAGGTGGTAGGTTTTCTTTTCACTTACTTGAATAGTTTAATTCCACTCTGCGTTTATTGTTTTTTGTTTTGTCCATGATTTTATATCATGTTAGATTTAAGGGGTGTTCGTCAATATGTATGTTTTTGTTTTTCAAAACAAAAACAACTGCCAAAACACGCATATTCATGCACAGTTACTTGTAAATATCTATTTGTAGGTAAAGCTGAGCATTGCTGGAAAGAACACTATAAAGGAGGAAGATTTTGATGAGTTAACTTCAGATTCTTTGTTCAAGGATAGTGATATATCAAGTATATCAGGGTCAGAAGATGAGGCTGAGAAAGATTTCTGTCCGAACAATGACTTACACAAAAAAGGAGGGGATAGTAGTAAACAAAAACTGTTTATCAATCTTCAGACGGGAGAGACAGTTTCTATTTGGAAGTGCTTGCTTTTGGCTGAATCCGAAACTATCTCATTTCATGGTGATAAGTTGGTTCCCGTGGAGAAGGGGTGTAACTTAAGAGAAAATGAACTAGTTGAGAGGTTAAAGAATCTGACCCATGAGCCTCGGGATAAAACACACTTACGGATTGTGTTGCTTGCAAGTGGTGGACACTTTGCGGGATGCGTCTTTGATGGGAATTCAGTTGTGGATCACAAAACATTCCATAGGTTGGTATTTTGTTCTCATACTAGTACTTTCAATTATCATTTGTCATGTGCTCCTATTATAGCAGATTAACCTACAGAAACATCTCTCTCTCTCTCTCTCACACACACATGGACATAATTTTATGTTGTATCACTGACTTGGGTATATTTGTTCCTAACCTTTAATCAGTTAAACGTTTTCTTTCCTCAAAATGAAACTGGAAACTTGAAAACACCGAGTGCAAGAATTCAGCTGCACATAAAGCCTTGGACAATGTTCAATATAGCTATTGTCACTCAACTTTGTTTGTCACTCTCCCTTAAGCCTTGGGCAGTGCTATAAAATATTGCAACAAGAACTTTTAGCTGCATTTTCTTGTCAAATAGTAGATAAGGAAAGCTTCATTGAATTTGTAAGAAACAACCTAATCAAAAAGGCAAAAACAAGCTGATGCACTAAGCCTGGTAGTTGCATCTGCATTTGTACATATAACACGGTCATGAATGAAGGTTCTCTTAAAATTGTCAAGTCATTATGCTGATAAATCTGTTGGATTGGGCTATGGATACAAGTGTAGACAACAATTATAGTATGTTTCATTATTTTTCCCCTTCATTTGGGGCATGCTGCATCCCACTCATAATAATGATGATGATTATATTAGACTTGCATCTGTATTTTTTATATAGTTACTACCAGAGTTGTGCAATGGGCCACAATTAGGGAGGAACTTAACATTATTTCTCTGGATTCTATGGTGGGTTGTAAATTATATCAAAGTCATTTATGTATTATAATAAGTGCTAAAATGTTGTAATGTAGACTAGATGGTTTGGGGGATGCACATAAGAGGACCAACTACCGTACTAGTAAGAAGTGATTATGTTGTAGGATATGTTCATTGGATATGACAAGAACATGGCTGGATGTGGTATTGAATATATTTGCACTAAAAATTGAAGCATCTGACACAATACAGCGTATTTGCACAGGATCACATGTACCCAGGTATCCCAGGTTCTTGTAGGGTCTAGAAGAGCTACAGCAGGCCAAGGAGAACAGGGTTTGAGGTAGTGAAAAATGATTTATGGGTGCAAAGTTTAACCATGGATCTGGCTCTAGATAGTTGAATGGTAAAAATGATTCATGTAGCCAACCCTACATGGTTGGGATTTGGGAACCTTTTAATGCTTTATTGAGTTCGGTTGGAATATGCTAGATCTGGGTAAGCAAGTTAGAAAGTTTCTCCTTAACATGGACTTGGCTTATATATAATAGTGGTTGGGCGTTATTTCTATCTTTCTACCAACTCCTTGTTTCTATTCTCTACTTCTTTCCTTTGTTACTCTTGTGAACACCAAACTTTTCCCTTCCACTAGTGGTATGATGGTATCTTGTCTTACACTTCTGGTCCCAAGCCTAGACAAATGAGGGTTGTGTGTCAGGGTGGCAGCCAACATAAAATCCTTGCGAACACCAAATTATTGTATGAATTATTATCAATTATTACATTTTATTCTTCTCTCTATTATTTCTATAGTTCTACTTTTCTTCTCTATATTACTCATTTTAAAAACCTAGTTTCTTGTTTTCTCCTGTTTTCTTTGGTGGTTTCCCACATTAATAAGACATTCACATGGCACATTTATATATGTATCATATATGGTCTAATTGGTTAAAAATTAAATATTAAAATAATAAAAAATGGAGAGATTTCTCAAGTACTAGTCTTTGATAAAGCCAAAGGGGTCTAGGCAAACACAGAAAAGTACCAAGGAAATCCTCCCCCACTCCCCTCCCAAAAAAAGCACAAACTTCTGAATATCCATTCTTTTGGCTCAATTTTGGTAATGGTCGTATGATGTTTTCAAAATGCTGATTCTACTTTGTCCACAACTGTCTAATGCATTAATTAATGATAAAGCCAAAGTCTAATGCATTAATTAAATCCATACAGATTGAAGGGATGAGAGATAAATCATATGGATGGCCGGACCCTGCAGGAAGGTTGGGCGAAATTTCAAAAATTTCTCTCTCCCATGTGGGAATCACATTCCCTATTTTAGAAAACTGCATTTTCAAGGATCAATCTTGAAACCAAACCGGACCAGATCTGAAACCAAAAGGTAGGAGAGGGATATACCTGATACGGAGTAACAATAACTCCTAACGAAGGTGTTCACGCCCAAGGAGAAAACCAAAGACTGCTCCCACTGAAAATGACACAGTGTAAGATGGAGAAGAATCAGCAGGATAACTCTTCATCAAGAATCAAATTCTTCAACAAGAATGTGATGGAGGGCTAGTGAGAACGACTTCAGATTACCTTTTCTACTAAAAGGTAATATCAAGAACCTTTCTTGATCACTCCCACAGGTGGAGAATGAACTGACAGGGGCGGCAAGAGCAGGAAAGAGTAGAAGATAGGAGCAGCCAAACTGCAAATTCTTCTCTCTTTGTAATCTGCGAATTTTGTTTCTTGGAGGTTCTCCCTGCTCCTCTATTTATAGCCTTTAAAGAGAGCATCTCCTAATCCCATTAGGAGTTTCTTAATCTAAATCTTGTATTTGGATTTGGATTCTCTTTAAGAGATAAGGATAATCCCTTATCTTATCTGCAGATAAAGATCAAACTTCCTAATCAAATTACGAGTTTCTTGATCCAAATCTTTATTTGGATCTGGACTCTTTGAGTGGATAGGGACATATTTGCTGATCTAAATCCCAGAATCGCCCCTAATTAATAAGTCTTATTAAGCCAGTTCGAATTGGGCTTTAGGCTTATTAAGTCTATGTGCTCATTTAACCTCCTAACTGCTGCCCAGTTGGCTATCATTGTATGGCGTGAGACCCAAACATTGATCTACACATCAACCACATGGGTTCAGCCCAGCCTCTGTTACAAGGCCTGGCCGAATTCACTGTACGAAACAATGAACCCTTGAGTCCATCACCATGGGCTCTTAATTGGCCTAACATTTACACTAAATGGTCATTGGGTCAAGCCACCTTATAAAAACCCAAGGACTGTGGGCAGATGCAAGATTAACTCATTAGGTGTTACCCTCAATTGTCTTACAATTAACCTCTCAGCCCATAATGATTAAACACTGCCCGACAAGAGATGACCTCTCCCTCGGCTGCAAGGTATAGTGCTGCACTCTCTACTCACATGGATCTCGGGAATTAAAACCTTTTGCAAACATTTTGAAACCATAATATATATATATATATATATATATATATATATATATATATGTATATCTCTATATAAATATATTTTGCAAAACAAATTTCAACGGTTGAAATCAACTGCCGGTAGTTTAGGTTTCCATTAGAGAGAGTGCATCCCCGATCATTCACTTTGTCCAACAAAGGGGCTGATCCTGTTACTATGATCACCCACTCAGATGAATTCTCGGACTGTCCCAACATACATAGGTTTTGACCCCCTCTAAGGATCTTAATGATTGGCATATCAAAGACATCCAAATCCAACACCTAGTGTAGTATCATAATCGAGTGTAGGGGTCAAGTGTAACATTCCAGTTTTGCCCATCTATTTCCAAGGTCCAGGGCAATACTGGAATTTTGGTCCGGTTCAAGGTTTCAAGAAAACCCACACTGCATGTACCTCAAGTCTCACCCTAGCAGCTGAGACAATCCTCCCCAACCAATTTGGCAGCACATCAATGTCAGCCTTGGCAGGATAAATCTCCCCAGATCTATCCAACGGCTGTGAAGATTCTAAACTAACACGAGTCTCATATGTGTCCAGTTTAAGGGTATTACACAGAAACACACCATAATAACATGAATCAARTRKRTACTTTATTCATTTACATTAAATGTCATAATGTACATCATTCTGATTGGAGCTAAGGGCATAACTGTCTAATACAAATTACTTTTTTTGGACTTACAAAGGATATAGTGTTGTTTTTCATTTATTTGATTTAATACATGTTGTTTTGCAGATATGTTATTAGAGCTAAGGCTGGTAAAAAGCAATCATCCAAAGATGCAAGTGGCAAAGCTGCACACTCTGCTGGTGCTTCTCTTCGCCGGTATAATGAATTGGCTCTGAAGAAGGTATTGGAAATTCTTAACGGAGTGAAAACCTGATTAAATTTGTCTATAATTTTTTTAATCTTCCCTGGGATATAGGCACAAGATTAGAGAAGCAAATTTCTGGTCCATTCCATGAATACTATTCACAATTTCACATGTGTCAAGAAAACAGCAAATTCTCTAGCTGGTTCCCTAGCTAGAGAAGGGTGGACAGAAGAGAGATGTACTGGGGGCTAGAAGCAGTATAGGCCAAGGGTGATGGTGTGTGTATGTGTTGGGGGAACTGATGGCTCCATTTATAGACAATTATTGGATCTTCTCTCTCAGCAGAGTGCTGATAATTGTTACGTTACATAAAATTTTTGGATCTGTTAATGATAAATAATATTCTGTAATTATGTATTGGAACAATCACACCTAACAGTTAATAATCCAATATATTGGACTTGCTTTTTTACCAGTCCTTTTTTTTGCATTTAATATGTATTGTTACCAAATTTTATGTAGTGCCATGTGTGTCTTTGAACATGTCTTGTTTTTCATGCTTCTCATTATTTCCTTCTTTGTTATTATTCTAGGAAATTCAAGAATTGCTTGATGCTTGGAAGCGATATTTTGATGCTTCATCATGCATTTTCATCTATGCTCCTTCTGGCAATAGTCAACTGTTTTTTAATGGGGAAAAGGCACTCTTTACTCATCAACAATTAGTTGTACGGCATATTCCTCTGACTGTCCGTAGACCTACCTTCAAAGAAGCTAAGAGAATATATAACCATTTGACACATCTGACCTATGAGATGGATGAGAAGGGATGTCCACCTAGCATTAAAGTGGCATCAGCATCATGTGCAGTAAATATGCAAAATAGCCATCTTGATTCTAATGAGGAAAAGTTGGTGGACTACTTTGAAAGAAAGGAAACCACTGTAGTATGTTCAGATCTCAAAAGTTATGATGCATTGCCTCTATCAAGTGAGAGTAAATCTGTGGGTGTGACAACTCCTCTTCATGAAGCAGCAATGTCTGGCAATGCTCATAAAACTCTGGAGCTTTTAGAACAGGGTTTGGATCCTTCTATTAAAGATGAAAGAGGGAGGACACCATATATGCTGGCAACTGAGAAGGAAGTAAGGAATATTTTTAGACGGTTCATGGCATTGAACATTGACAAGTGGGACTGGCATTCTGCTAAAGTTCCTAGTGCATTGACAAAAGAAATGGAGGAATCTCAAGCAGCTAAACAGGTTATATTGATGTATTTTTTTGTTGAATCTGACTTTTCCTATTTTTTTTTTCATCAGTAACAGTCTGAATTATGTTGGTTTATGATTAAAGAATTAGCACAAGAACACAAATTGTTCCTAGAACCCCTCTTCAATTGGCTAGACCTAGCTTCCTACCTTTCATAAACATCCTTTATGTTCAATTTTAGGGGTGCATCCTGGGTGGGCCTAACCTGAGCCCAGACCGACCCAGCCTGCAATTTTACATGTGCTGGGCTTGGATTCCTAGACATGCCAATTGAGCCACAAGAAAATTCCTTAAAAAAGGAAGCACAAGAGAAAGAAACTGAGGAGCAAGTAAACTAAACTCTATGATCAGGTTTAGAATCACAAAGAGTAACACTGTCCAAGGAAGCAAAGGGAACTAAGAAATTAGAAATTCCACCCTCCCTTAAACCTCTCCTTAAGCTGTAATGCTTAGACAGGGATACACTCTGGGAAACAAAATGAATCTTTTAAATTGGACAAAGTGAACAACCTAGGAAATCTGTCTGTAAGAGACTGCTCCCTCACCACAAGCCTTTCCAAAATTTGATTTTGTTACCATTAAGTGTGCCATACCTGATTTGTTGAAAGAACAGAATATTTTGATTTAATTTGAAGTATTGATGATTGTACTACTCAAACAGTCTATCTGTTGTCCTGTTCTTCATGCACTACAGTTGAAAGAGAAAGATCCTAGCCCTTGAATCGATATAGGCAAGTTGGGATTCGTGATATCAAAGATTGAGAGCATATAAATTAGGTTAGCATTACTGTTGTGGTAAAAATACTTTTAGTTTTCTTTTCTTTCTTTTTTCTTCTTTTTTTTTTCTGGAATTTCAGACTCCATCTTCTAGACTAATGGAGACAATTATTAGTGTTTTTTAACATGTATGGTAAATACTTAGTAAACAATTCTGAATAGTAATTACTAGTTGATTTAAATTTAGAGTGTCTGTATTTAAAGTTGGCTGCAATGCTTAGAGGGTTAGAGTCTAATATTCTCTAAATGCTATACCATTGGATGTTTTGTTGAGCTTTTAGTATGTTTTCTTTCAAGGGTGTTTAGTGTATCAAGGGAACATTTGTTATATTATTTAAATGTGGGCTATTTCTCTGGAGCTAATCATGCACACAGTAAAGTCCAGCAGATTTCTTCTTGTTTCATTGCCTTGATGTTCAGTCATTAATATTAGACCTGTTCAAGGGCCGGGCTTTGCCTCTTTATCAACAGAAAATATCCAGGCCCAAGCCCTGGTCCAGCCTGACCTTCGGGCCTAGATCTTGAGCCCGAGCCCAGCCCTTATATAAGGCATTAAGGCCCAAAGCTCGAGCCCGATCTGCACATAAAATGTCCTATTTTTTGTGTAATTTAATAAACTAATAAATTAATTCATATTTCCTGAATAGTAAATTAATATTTGATAATATCTTTATAAATAAATACATATTATATATAAATAATGTATATTTCTATTATATGTAATAGTGTCGGGTTGGGCTTATTTGAGAAAGCCCGAGGCTGAGCCCGCGGGCCTGAAATTTTGTCAAAGCCCGAAAAATATCGGGTCGGGCCGGGCTGGCCCATTGGGCTACCCAGCCCATGAACAGGTCTAATTAATATCAATTCCCTGATATTAATTAAATCCTAAAAATTGATTTCATCTACCAATTGATGGTGATTAGTGGAGTTTGAAAACCAATACTCTTAGCAGTTGGTTTGTGAGATCACCATCTAAGCCTTACCTTGACTATATGGGGTCAGCTACACGAATCTTGTTTTGCCATTCTGTTCTGTTTAGTGCCATATCCATGGTTAAATTATTAGCGCTTAAATCATTTCTTACCACTTCAGCCCATGCTCTGCCCTTCTAGCCCCTTAAACCTGCAATAGATTGCTGCTCAGACCTGCATACTTAACTGTTAGGTATTGAAGTAGAGACTAGAACACAATAATTTTTCTGTTAACTAGGCAATAATTCTGATTTTCTCCAGGCACCATTGGAGTGCTGGCTGGGGATTACACACTTATATCCAGTTCATGCTATGTAGTTTCTTCTTAATGGATATCTAAGGATTTGTTTCTTGGAATGCTAGATTTGGCAATGTAATGGCAAATTAAAAAAATGCTCCCTTACTAGACATTTGCACTGTTGGTATGATTAAAAAAAGAAAACTAGGCTGTGGAGTCATGTTAAGGGCACGAGAATAGGATCTCGTCACGGGGAAAACCTCCTGTTTTCCCTTGTTCCTCCCTTTTCTTGAAGAACCTATCTTGCCGCCCTAAAAGGTGATTTGTTCAAGAGATCACCAACTCTCCTTTGCTCTCTTTCTTGACTGAAATTTTTGGATACCTTTATTGAATAATATCAGCTCCTTAAATAGGAGATTACAAGAGGTAAAATCCTACTTTTAGGAGGACTTCTTGCTAATCTACTACTCTATCCTATTAAACTGATAAGATAAGATAGGACTGGGCTGATAAGATGAGATAAGAATACTGCTGCTGCCGAACTGGATAGGATGAGAACACCAGATCACTGCTGCTGTCGGCGGTGGTATTTCCTCCCAATAAACGCGTCCACATCATTACTCCCCTCCTGGACTACGAGCTTGTCCTCAAGCTCGAACTCGGGATAAGTGTCTTGGAACTCACTCAAGGGGATCCAGGTGGCTTCGGCTGACGGTAGGCTATCCCATTCCACCAAAACTTCCCGAATACCGTGATTGATTTTGGAGCGAACAAGGGCCCGAGGTTGGGGAACGAGCTTGCCTTCTTTCAAGGGTGGCAAGGGGGGAACTCGGTCCGGAGGAACACCCTTAAATGGTTTGAGCAAGGAGATGTGAAAAACATCATGGATCCGACTGTGCTCTGGTAGTTCCAGCTGGTATGCAACCGTACCAATCCATCACAAAACTTTGAAGGGCCCATAAAATTTAGGGGCTAATTTAGGGGCAGCCCGACGGCTCAAGGAGCGTTGCCGGTAGGGCTGAAGCTTCAACCAAACAAACTGTCCCGGTTCGAATGACAATTCTGGATGGTGCTAGTCATAGGTTTGCTTCATGCGGAGCTGTGCTTGTTGTAAGCGAAGAGATACGTCAACTAGAAGGGCATCGCACTCTTGTAGAGATCGATCAATCTCCTCCAAACGAGTAGAACCGGGTTCATAGGATAACAGGCGAGGAGGGTCTCGGCCATAGACGACGCGAAATGGAGACATGCCGAGGGAAGAATGATAGGCGGTGTTGTAACAGTATTCGGCCCAAGGAAGCCAATCCACCCATCGTCGTAGTTGATCTCCAACAAAACAATGGAGATACATCTCGATCGTGCGGTTCACCACCTCCATTTGTCCGTCGGACTGAGGATGATACGCGGAGGAAAAAGATAAGGTAGTGCCATGTAGCCGAAACAGTTCCTTCCAGAAGGCACTAGTGAAAACTGGGTCCCTGTCGTTGACAATAGATTCCGATAGCCCATGTAAACGGAAAACATGCGTAAAGAAAACGTGGGCGACTGAAGTGGCGTTGTACGGGTGTGACAGAGGGATGAAATGGGCATATTTCAAGAAGCGATCCACCACCGCGTACCTTGGGTAGTCCCTCGATGAAATCCATGGAGATATCAGCCCAGATTTGTGTTGGAATCGAAAGGGGCTGAAGGAGGCCAGCCGGGTGTAGGTTTTCCCATTTGTGCTGTTGACACGTGGAGCAATTTTGGATAAAGTCCCTAATAGAAGCCTTCATACCTTGCCAATGGAAATCAGCTTGGACACGATGCAGCGTCTTCTGAATGCCTTCGTGGGTGGAGTTATGAATACTGGAGATGATGGAAGGGATTAAAGAGGAATCCAGTGGAAGATGTACTCGACCTTTATACAGCACCAACCCGTCATGAAGGGACCAATTGGAGTCGGCGGCTCCGGACTGAATTTTTTGAACAAGGGTCGTCCATTCCGGTGATTGCGGCATCGCCTTCTTGATGTCGTCTAACAGGGTGATGTGAGGCTGGGAAATTCCAAATAGAAGCATAGTGTCCTCATCACGCCTAGATAACGCATCAGCGGCCCAATTCAAGGATCTCGCCTTGTAGTCTACCTGGAAATCAAAACCAAGCAGTTTGCTAATCCAATGTTGTTGAGGAAAAGTGGTAAGTCGCTGCTCCAACAAGTACTTGAGGGTAGTGATCGGTCTTGACGATGAATGACCTCCCCCACAAGTACGATCTCTAGTGTTGGACGACTCTGGCTAGCCCAATCAGTTCGCACTCATAAGCTGGTAGTTTTAAGTGTTGGTCGGTCAATTTACGGCTGAAGAAGGAAATCGGATGCCCTTGTTGTAGTAATACGGCCCCAACCCCTATTTCGGATCCATTGCACTCGACTGTAAACTCGAGATCGAATTCGGTAATTGCAGAACTGGGGTGGAGGAGAGGGCATCTCTTAGATTTGCAAAAGCTGCATCGGTTGCGTCGTCCCAACAGAAGGCATTCTTCTTTAGTAGGTTGGTTAACGGGGCAGCCAACAAGCCATAATTCTGCACAAATTTGCGGTAGTATCGTCAGGCCCAGGAACCCGCGTAGAGCCTTGGTAGATTGGGGCTTGGGCCATTCCTTGATAGCTTGAATTTTGGAACTGTCCACCGTTACACCTTGCCCGTTGATGACGTGTCCCAAGTAAAGAACCTGACGCTCCCCAAAGGAGCACTTGGACCATTTAAGGAAGAGTTGGTGTTGGTGCAGGAGCTCAAAAACGGTCCGCAGATGATACACATGTTCTACCCATGATTTACTGTAAACTAGAATGTCGTCGAAGAACACTAAAACAAATTTGTGCAGATGGGATTGAAATACCTCATTCATTAGGGACTGGAATGTGAATGGGGCGTTTGTGAGACCGAACGACATAACTAAAATCTCAAAGTGGTCGTGGTGAGTTCTGAAGGCAGTTTTCTCGACGTCTCGGGGAGCCATTCGGACCTGGAAGTACCTGGACCTGAGGTCTAATTTTGAGAAATACTGGGCACCATGAAGTTCGTCCAACAGCTTGTCCACAATGGGAATGGGAAATTATCTTTGACCGTTCGATTATTGAGCTCTCTGTAGTCAACACAAAACCTCCAAGTACCATCCCGTTTTTCTACCAACAGTACCGGCGAGGAGAAGGGCGAACAGCTAGGGCGTATGATACCCTGTTTCATCATTTCAGCACATTGCTTTTCTATCTCGTCCTTCTGTAGATGAGGGTAGCGATAAGGTCGGACGACGACTGGTTCTGAACCCGCGACCAAAGGGATTCGATGATCGTACATTTGAGGAGGAGGAGAAGTCCCTTGGGGTCTTGGAACACATCTGAAAACTCAGCGAGGAGCCTTTCCATAGTCGTCGTATGCATCGTTTCTCTCTGAAGCGCATGAACCTGTGGTTTTCTTGCCTTTACCCTGTTACCCTACCAAGAGACTTGCTTTCCATTCAAGAGGAATGTCATTGTTAGGGCGCTGAAATCCCATAAAATTGGAACTAGGATGATCAACCATTTAACCCCAAGAACAATATCAAATCCATCCAAGGATAGCACAAATAAATCAGCAGAGAATGATTCAGATTCAACCTGTATTTGGACGTCCTTACAGATTCCCGGGCTGTGAACCCTTTTGTCGTTTGTGACGGTTACCTGTAGTCGTGGTCTGAATTCCATTGGCAGTCCCAACTGAAGGGCAGCTTGCTCACTTACGAAGTTGTGTGTGCTTCCCGAGTCAACGAGTATCCGTACCGGTCTTCCTGCTACCTGTGCTTGCAACTACATGGTCTGAGAAGTTTTTATCCCGGTGATTGCGTGGAGAGAAACCTCGGGCTCGAATGCTGAGGGTTCCTCCTCGTCTTCCTCTTGCTCATCCACTAGGAGGCAGAAAAGTCTCTTGCACCTGTGTCCCGCCGAATAGAGATCGTCACAGTTGAAACATTGTCCCCTCGCCCGCCGTTCTGCCATCTTGGCCCTGGACAAGCGCTTAATGGGGGGAGCCACTACATTGCTTCCTACACTTGATGCCGATCTGGGAACGCTGCTCGTGTGAGACTTCTGTTCTCGGCTAGCTGCAGAGGTGGGGGTTACTCCGGGTGTTTTCAGGGGTGCCCATGATGTTGGCGGCCATCCCATACTGAAGGTCCCGCGACAGAGTTGCAGCTTGCGTTCAAACGCGTGGGCTAGATTCATGGCCATAACCAGGTTGGGAGGATTCTGCATCTCCACGTCCACCCTCAGGGGTTCTGCTAACTCTACGGTGAACATGTCTACCTGCTGGTCGGGACGTACTGATGATGCTCTGGCAAGGAGGGTCTGAAACTGGCGCTGATATTCAGCCACCGCTCCCATTTGTTTAAGGCTGATCAGTTCGCCTAAGGGGTTGCTTGTCAATGGGGGCCCAAATCTGAGAAGGCAGTAGGATTTGAACTGGGTCCAACTGAGCCCGGGTTCCTCCTGTTCCAATCGATAGAACTAGAGCTGTGCCTCCTCTGTCAGGTGAAAGGTGGCTAGGCTTACCTTGTCTCGGTCGTCCGTTCGTTGGTTGCGGAAGAACTGCTCACAACGGTACAACCACCCCAAGGGATCCCCGGTGCCGTTGTACGAAGGGAACTCCAACCTGCTGTATTTGGGAATGACCGCGACTCCCTGGGTGACGATCTGCTGTTCGCCGGATGACTCTGCCGTGGCTGATCGGCGGCCGTTAGTGGTTGCCGCCCCTTCTGGGTTCCTCTCCTTGTTAGAAAGAAATAACTCCATCAGGCGCCGTAACTCCCGGACATCGTCCTTGATCTCGCGCACCTCCGCGCTGGTCTCCTCGAGCCGGTGCTCTAGTTCGTGGACCCTGGACGGCAACTGCTCCAGATCACCCATGACTCCTTGCTCTGATACCAAGTTGTTAAGGGCCCGAGAATAGGATCTCGTCACGGGTCGGTCCACGGGGAAAACCTCCTGTTTTCCCTTGTTCCTCCCTTTTCTTGAAGAA